GGTTTAGGGTTTAGGGTTTAGGGTTTAGGGTTTAGGGTTTAGGGTTTAGGGTTTCAGAGGTCCCAAGAGTCATGATGAGCTGTGACAATCGGTCTGAGGAGAAGGCCAAAGCGGCCGCAAGCCTCGACTGCCTCAGTGGCACAACTTAACTTAGTTGTCCAGTAACCTGGGGGAACTAAAGGTTGACCTTTAGGATTATAAGGGGATTATATTACACCAAAAGGTTAAAGGTTACCGACTCTACTACTAGGCCAACCAGCAAAATTGCTGTAGGGCTCAGGGTTTAGGGTTTTGCTCTCTCAATCGTGGGATGCTACCTCCCTCTATACTGACCCCCTACGTTCCCTATAATTTACTACCCCCCTACGTTGCCCCCATAATTACGGCTGTTTAGGGAAAATTAAGCCTAATTAAGCTATTCAAAGGGGGAACCCGGGGGCGTAGTATAGAGGGGGTAGTAGAATGAAAGGTCCCTTTTGGGGCTCCTCTTGTAACACGGAGCCTTGCATTGCCCAAAAAGAGCCCATCAATTCACAGATTCCCGCCCTTGGGCCACTCGGATTCACGAGAAACCCCTCTGACACAAGCAAGTACGAAGGGGATGAGGTGCTGGGATATGCATATCCACTCATCTCAACTCTCTAAAAACCAAGCGCCCGGAAAGCCAACATCTCAGCTCAGGCCAGAACTCTGCAGTCAAAGGAGCGGCGGGCAGCTGAGTTTCTTCAACCTGTGGCCTCTTCTGAAGCTGGCTTTGGGATGAAGGGCCTACAGATGCCACACAGTCCTACAGCGCTCAGGCCCTCAAGCAAGCCCGGCAAGTGTGCTGGAAACCCTCTGCAAGTAGCGTCTAGCACGAAAGAGCCGAGGCATGCCATCTTCAGCCTCAACTCGGTCTGTACAGCCACGGCTTGCTTGAGCACTTGGATCTCGCTGGCCAGCGCCTCAGATGCAGTGCTCACAGGGTTTTGTTTCTTTGTTGCTTGCTCCGCCAAGCACCTTGATTCAAGCACCCTGGCTTTTAAGATCGGTGTATGATTGCAGCCTCGCCTGTTGATCTTATGATGTCAGGCTCCAACATGCTAGTGGCCGACTTCTGAGACGTCCCAAGTTTGCCTACTGCAAACTCCAAGCATACCCGGCATGTTTCTGGGAGCTCAGGGGCACACCCGGATCCATTCCTGCTGCGCTTGACAAGCCCTGAGCAAGAGGCATGTCTCTGAGACTCTTCGTGCAAAAACCCTGTTGTTACTGCGCTGATCACAGATGTCGAGGTAGGGAAACTCTCTGGCAACCCTATACACTAAACCCTAAACCCTAAACCCTAAACCCTTAACTACGGATCTTGAGAGGTTGACGCCGAAAGAGCTCCGGCTGTCCCCTATGTCCAGGCTCCCGGGCGCTTGTTGCCCAATCGTCTCCGCCAAGGACTGGCAACGCGCAACACAACCAACAAGGGTTTAGGGTTTAGGGTTTAGGGTTTAGGGTTTAGGGTTTAGGGTTTAGGGTTTAGGGTTTAGGGTTTAGGGTTTAGGGTTTAGGGTTTCGGGTTTAGGGTTTAGGGTTTAGGGTTTAGGGTTTAGGGTTTAGGGTTTAGGGTTTAGGGTTTAGGGTTTAGGGTTTCTGTACTGAAACAGCACGACTGCCAGGGAAATGCATTCGAACTTGTTCGCGCAGCACAGTTGTTGAAGTCGAACAAACTCTGACAAGCCCGCGGGCCTTCAAGACAGATGTGGTGAGCGCGCCCGAAGTGTTCGAAACAGTGGGCGTACCCCTGCCAGCACTCCGCCAGATGCGTGGGAAGGATGAGAGCTGCACACATTTGCAAAGTTCTGCGATCGACGCTTCTTGTTGCCTTTCATGCAAGGTAGCCAAAGTTGAAACCCACAATTCCCGAACTCTGACAAGTCTTTCACCCACGAACATGTCGGGGCGACGGCAAAGTGAGTCCAGGAGCTCCGACTGAGGCAAGAAGTGAACAAGTCTCTGTGTAGCTGCATTGCGCCATAGGAAGTCGGGTGAACTTCTTTCGCTCTTTCAACCACCAAATGCAAGCTGTGAAAAGTGGGAGAACATGCTTTCCCATGCTTCCCAATGGGCACTTTGTTGTGAAGGTGCCCCCTGCGAAAAGCCCGGAGTCTGGGAGGTCCTTGAGCTATCCTCTACGTAGCCACTCCATCTTTTGTTTACAAGTTTGGGATTGGGATGCTGATGTGTCAAGCGACCTCGCAGTGAACGCCTCACAAAAATCAGAAAGCAGCGGCAACCTCTACTCCAGCATGCAGAACACCCCACCCACGTTGTGCTCCTGGCTCTTCTAGACTACGGCCCGTTCTTGTAGGAGTTGATACCAGAACCCTTTGTAAAAAGAACTGCTCAAACAACCCCCCCACATCATCCGAGGCAAGCTCCTGTCGGAAAATCCAAAGGGATGGCCTGGCGCTTGGTGGCCGGCAGGCTGCATACAGTCCCTGCCCTACTTGAAGGTTCATGGTACTTATGAACCAATTAGAACTGTACTTGTAACCCACTTATAAGCCCCTTAGGTGCCCCAGTATAGCAAGCCCTGAATCCTAAAGTCCATACAGTCCTAAACCCACAGCCATGGGCACAGAATCCAATCAGTCAGGGCCCACCGGCACTCCGGTCGCAGCAGCGCTGGTGGCGCGCAGCATCTGCAGTCGCTGCATCAGCAGAGCCTGGTTGGCATTGACCTGCATATGTTCAGGAGGCTGCTCTAATTTAGGCTGAGGCATCCATGAAAAGATTTCCCCGACAGAAACGGACCCCTCATTCCTCAAACCCATGCCGAAGCCTGCAACTAGCTGTAACTAGCTAAGCCCAAAGAGCTCCCACTTCGAGATGGCGCCTGCTGACGCAGGGTTTCAGCAGTACCCAGGTTCGCCCATCCGGCAGCGGACTGGTCGTGTTGCGCGGTTACAGCTTTGACAGATCGCAGGGCGCGCGCTACTTCTTAGACTCGCCGCAGAGGGTGAAGAGTTCGGAATCTCCTTGGTTGAGTTAATTCAGGCGGTCAGGTGCACAGCCATCCTCAACAATCCGACTGCCGATAGGATCGCAGGGGCCTGGTTCAGGTTCAGGTTGGCCATCATGTCGTCGAGAGCTTTCTTCTGGCGAACCTGCAGGGGCTGAGTACTGCGGTCGGAGATGACAACAAGCATCTTCCGCCATCATTGATTCTGCCCACGTCCACAACACTTGCTGATCTTTAGGCATACTGTCGGTCGAGAGGGGCTGTCAGCATATCGCATTATCTGAGCCATCTGCAAGCCGTTCGAAGTCTTGAGGGTATTTCGCGTGCCGCAAGCGGCAAGCACACAGAGCTGATGTCGGGAGCTTACCCCCGTACCCCAAACCCGATCGAAACCCAAACACCAAACCCTGCTTCGACTCAGCTCACTGATGCTGGGCCATGGGCGCTGGTGAGAGCCTCATCCAAAATTCCCAGAGCCTGCCGGACTGTCGTGGTTCTCGTGTTCTTCGAACATGACCAGAGTGAAAGGCATGTGTGTGGCCTTGAGTGTCAGGCTCCAACATTGTGTGGGTGATAGGCTAAAGACATCAGACTTCTATGGCCTTTTCGGCTGCAGCGCAGCTTTAACTGCCTTGTTGGCCCGTTTAGAGAGTTGGAATTGCAAAACTTGCTGTTCAAGCTTTGGCCGCAAGCTGGGAATAGAGGGCCAGAAAAAACCTTGGAGTTGCTTCTTGGGCCGCTATCCCCGACATATTCAACTGTACTAAACTCCCTGCTACGGCAAAGTGCATATGGGGTGCCTGCAAAATACCATGCTCGTCTAAATGCGGTGCCGTCTCCATGACCGTGTTCACCTGCCAGCATGTAAGCTCTCGAAATACTGCTCGCCGTACAATTCAAGCGCGGGATCCGAGAGCTGGACCCACTGGTGATGGCCCAAAGGAAGCCCGGCATCTACGGGCAAAGGCACGGACAAAGGCTGCCTCGGTATTTCTCGAATGCTCGAAACCTGAAACCACTGTCGGGGGGAGCGATTCTCGGCTTTCCAGGTGGCCAGCGGGGTCTCCAGAAGCGGGCCACAGTAGGCGGGCATCGACACCCCCGGCAGTGTCGGCACTGCTGGCATCGTGGGCACTGTCGGCATGGGCATCGTCGGTACTGCCAAGCCCTCAGCAGAGCGCGTGGGGCCCCTGCAACGCCCCAGTCCGGTAACTATAGGAAAAGGACAGGAGCTCGCCATCCCTCCCTATCAAATTATGTGACACATAACAATGTTTACCCACCAACTTCAGGCTTCATAGTGTCGGTCTTCTGTGCCGGAATCTACATCCATGATGAGAAACTGCTGCAGTATACGATTTGGCTTGGCATGCTGCGGGCCCGAGCGCGCTCGCTGGCTGGGTCTGACCTCGGAACTGGAAACCGGGGCAATCTTAAACTATGCCGTGCTGTGCAGAGAATGGAAGCTGACAACCACGATTCAGAGGCGATCTGTTAATGCTGAATATCGGTCCACAAAGAGACCCTCCACTTCTCGAGCCGGCGACTGCAAAGGCGACCATCCTTGCAACAGTTGAATGAATTTCATCATACAACCAAGACCGAAACAAAGTCCCTAAAATGTCCTGAAATCTTGAGAAAAATTGCCCTGCCGCACAGAAAGCACGAAGCCATCCCAGCTAGGCTGCCCAGTTATCAAACCCTACACGTCATCTGTATGTACTGCGATCCCAGACTCTGCACTGAGTAATATCGTCGCGGGGTTGATCATCGGAATCGTCGGCTGCCTGACACCAAGGTGTCAGAACGCGTCAGACACAGTTGGAGGGCGCTAGGCGCTAGCTAGTTTGGACTGGGCTAGACGACCATGACATTAAAAGGGTGACTAGCTTGCACTGCTGGCTGTGGCTATTTCAGCGATGACCCCAGCACCACGGAAAGCCCCCGGGATCTCCAGCTTTTCTCCAGACTGTTAAGGACGTCTGGCTACTCCCTCTGAGTTGGCTCAGTCCGTCTTCTGCGCCGCTTTTCGGAGCTGCGGATTCTGGCAACGGACCTCATGTTTCGAGGAAACATGCGACTGTGCTACCGATTCCCAATCCCAAGCCGACACGTGCCCTTGTACATCTGCACAGCTCCTCAATTTGATTTCGCGAACCCTCCCGTGTCGTCTTAGGCCAGGACGGAGAAGTATGTGACCGCGCCGATGCAAAGATGCCAACCGCCATGCCACAGCCGGAGCCAGTCCTGATGCCGATCATTTCCGATTGATATGCTCATTGTCATTCGTCTTGTTCTGCCCTTACAGTTGCTGCTACTGCTATTTCATGTCATCCCATTTCACGTCCAACGCTTGCATGAGTCTGTCGCACGCCTTGGCGGGCAGAAGGGTGGGAAACATGACCTATCCGTCGCGCGCATCCCTCATCTCCAGCCGGAGTCAAAGCCTTGCAACTGCACATGCCTTGGTGAAGAACGCCGCTCGGGGCAAGCTTCGCATAGCCGGGCTTTCGGAGCAAAAGTACTATCCAGCGGGCGGCAGGGGGCACATGCCCACACAGGTTTAGGGCACGGGAACTTGAAAGCAATCTCTTGTGCCTTGTGTTCGGGCCTGCGGAATTTTCCACGTTATCCACGGACCTTGTTCTCATTCGCTTGGTGATTAGCACTCGTGCTCGTTCTCGTTCTCGTTGTTGTTGGTGGTGGTGGTGGTGGCGGTGGTGCTGTTGGTGCTGTTGGTGTTGTTGGTGCTGTTGGGATGGTTGTTGCTAGCTTGCCCAATCTTCACTGATGGATCGTCATGTGGCACAGAACAAACTCGAACCCATGCTTGAAAATTAGAGCCCATGTGATCCCTATCCCAGATGCCTTCGATTCATCGAGGCCCTTGTAGAAGCAGAGGGCAGCTGCAGGAACACAGAGCAATGCCTTCAACGAAGGGCTTTGCGGTCATTTCGGGCCATTTGGGAATCAGGAGCCCTATTACTCTATACGTTCAAACTCATTCTCAGCGTGGATGGATCCCAAGCAGTGTACGTGGTGTACTACCCTCCGGGAGGAGCGGGCGCACGAAGTGAAGCCGGCCAAGAGCCGAAGAGAAGCAAGAGAAACTAACAACCCCCTTGGCCTGGCCTTAAGAGCGTCCCTCCTGTCAAGGCTTGGAAGCCTCCAGTTGCCAGGAGATCACCGAGTCTTGAAATCTGAGATTTTTTCGGGAACGTTAGGGCTCTTTCCACATCAGGCAAACCGTTGATGCGACAAAAAAGCATGTCAAGACGCTGAAGGAGCCTTCGGAGGTACGCCAGCTCCATCAGGAGCATTGGAAAACTCAGCGCCTCAGTGGGAGGGGCCATCTCAGGACTTTGTCGGCCGCATGTGGACAACAAGGCACGCGATGCCCCCACTCCTCTTGCTTCGCACTGCTTTCCAGACGGTCTCATATGGTTGCAGAGGGGCTTCGGAGTACTGAAGCTAAGCAAAGCCTGGGTGCCAGCGGCACGATCGTGTTGGCAAGGCTCCAGGGGCTTGCTGCTTGAAAGCAGATCACGATGCTGACTGTGAGCGCCATCCTGACTGCAATAAGACGCTGGCGTTTGAAGCGAAACTCCTTGACATAGGACAGAAGCTATGCTAACCACGATTGATGAGGCCGGCACCATGGCACAAAAAAGGTGAGCGTATCATGAATAAGGCCCGTGTGTTCAGCCTAGACAAGCATTCAGCAGCCTAAACCCTTCACACTTCCTTCTGAGAAATGCCCATGAGAGAAGATAATATGTGCCAAGAGAATGGCTCGACACGAGCCGCTTCCTACGCTTAAGGTCCAAACTGGTGGGATTGTTTTTTGCTTCGAAACGCAAACTGCGCAAGGGATGACCCCGATCCGACAAAAATCAGGGCCGTCGCTGGTGGCGCGTTCGCTGGCGGCTGGATCCCACCAGGGTGGGGTGGCTGAGAAAGGGCGGCTTTGAGCTTCGAGCGTTACGGCGTTCGAAGCTGTGCGGCTTCCCACACTTAAGATACCAACTGGCCATTTCGACGAATCGAAGTGCAACGGCATGCACCAGTCTGCCGAAAAATCAGGGCCGGTGCTGGGGGCATTCTGCATCCGCCCGGCGCACCCCAGCCCCCAGAAGCGTCGAGTGCTAGGGCGCTCAACGCTCAGCATGTCCCTACTCAGCCTACACAACAAGCAAAACGATCTCTTGAGGCCTTTGAGCCCGCCCACCCCAATCTAGCACCACGCTCAACCCTGGTAGGAAGGAGACATACGCCGTAGGCGCATGGGATCGCATGGGCTTATCTGCCTTGAAGAGACGTGCACTCTGCTGCGAGGGATCCGAAACTCGCGCAGAGTTGATGGTCTCGGTGCCTGCCATGAGCCAAGGCTTGCAAATTCAAGTCGCGCAGTGGGTTTAGAGAACACATATGGGCGGGGCCTTTTTTTACCCCAAGCATAGTAGAGTCCCCTTTGCAAAGGACCCCTAGGAGGGTACCCTTGCTTTCGTAAAACCCCCCAAATAAAGGCTTCCGGGCTTCCGGGGTTTTGGAAGCGTACAGTGCCTGGGCAAAGTTGGCGATGTTCAACATGATGCCAGTGATGGCCTGCAGCCCCAGGAGATTTCATGGTCAGAAAGCTGCTCTTCGCACGCTTCTCTCTTCATCGCGCGAGCGCGCGGCAAAGATGTTGTCCATGAAGTGCCATCTGTAGTGGTTGACGCCTGCCGAAGCATCACAGGATGCCAGTGGATGCAAAGGGGTTTAGGGTTTAGGGTTTAGAGTTTAGGGTTTAGGGTTTAGGGGTCAGGGGTTAGGGTTAACAGTCGGAAGTTGCAAGGATACACTCGGATACATCGGAACCGGCTCATTTACCAACGACCCGCGGCTGGCCTAAGAACTTGTAGTCCAAACTCTCGCACACGTGGTAGACTGCCGAGGTCACCAACGTGAAGAAGCCTCGGTATTCCAGACGACAATCAAACCCTTTCCATGTCTTCTCCACTCACCAGCTGGCACAAAATTGGAACCATGACCCCCCCTTTCACTGCAGCACTGTTTGACTTCCGCCAGGAATCAGATCATGCTCTCAAATCGCATGTCTGTCCGGTAGGTCAGGTAAACGACTGGAAGCAGCGCCAGATTCGTCGCGCCAGTCCATACCGCCTAAAGGCATGCTTCAGGCAGAGCTTGCAATCGGGGCGTAGGTGACACCATATCGGCCGCGAGGGCAAGAGACTCACTGTGACAAGTGCCAGAGTACGTGCTGCAGTGCTGCTACGTAAACCACATGGCCCATCCGCTGCGTTCGGGCAAGCATGCTATGCAACAGCATCAAGAAAGTCTCTGCCTGAGCAGCCTGATCCTCGACCGGCGGTGCCATGGCACTATGTGACTGTGTTATTTTCGGTGGGAAGTGGAAGTACGTCGTGGTTGGCCCGTCTCGACTATGACTTCGCAATGAAGCAATGCATCAGGGCGCAGCTCTCATATTGCCATAAAAGCTGCGTAAAGCTGCACAACCCCAAAACATCCCTAAGCCCTAGCTGTGTAACGTCCTACAGAGCTGCTCTCACTGGAACACTAGCACCCTCACGGTAATCCGTGCCTGGCTTCAGCCTGTTTCAACGAGCTTCAGAATGCGAATGGAGTGGCAACTCCATGCTGCAGAACGTTGCTCTGATGGAGCTTCCGGCTGCGCTCAATCAGGGTCAAGCTCGTGCCAGCGCATCGGATGACATGTAAGCTCCGGGTGCGCTCTCCGGTCTTAGTGCGGCTGGAAGAAAAGCTGGAAAGCTGTATGCATGTCACACAACATGTCACCCAACATCACATGAATTGAAGGTACTCATGAAGGCGCGGCGCCTGGGCTTTGCGCCTCAATAAAGCAATTCACCTCGGCACACTTCCCACTTCTGCAAAGGTGTCGCAAAGTAGGCAACATCCCCTAATGTACAGGTACTACCTACTTGTAGGTGGAGCTGCTTAGACCCCTTCAGAGTCGTCAGGGCCCCGGCGCGGTTGCCACAAGGAACAGACGGGTCCACTCAGCGCACTCGAAAGAGCGGCCGCTAGAGTTTCCACAGGCTGCAGGACATGCACGGGTCTTGTCAAAAAAGAAGGCGCATCGGATGATGGAATGAGTGCTTACACTAGGAAGGTTAACAGGGTTCGGCAAAGAGGAGATACGGTGACCGAATAGGAAAACGGAGCTACAGGCTGTCTTGCTCGCTTTTTGTCTCGCAGAGATGCTTACAGTCAAAGTCTGCCAGCGGAGTAATCACGACTGCCCGGAGTCGAGAGTGGCCCTGATTAAATCCCTAGTCCTAGAACTGAAATGCCATTCGTGGGAGCACATGTTGCAGGCCCATGAGGATTGTCTTCTGCTTCTTGGTGGCCCTTTCGGGGCGCATCTGGGAAAATGTCACCGGGTGCCCTGATCCATAAGGACCTTTGCACTCTAACCCTAAACTCTAAACCCTCAACCCCTAAGCCGCAGCTGCGCCATCGATCAGGGTGATATTGTCCAGCAGCTTCAGAGTCTCCTGGAGCGACCTCAGGAAATACCCCCAACACCTTGCAAAGCCGAAGGGCCTCTGGCTGAGGCCTTGGAGCTTCAGCCCTGAGCAATCCCTTTACACGGCCCCCATATAACCCTACATGCCCTAGAGTACCTAAGCCCTAAACCCTAAACCCTAAACCCTTAAGAAACCCCAACCTCAAACCCACACAAGCCTCAAGCCTCAGCTCGGGGCGCTATCGTCTCCTCCCTCTTCTTCTGTGCCTCCTGAGATGAGGTTCTCTGCACCCGAAACCACACCCATGCGAAAAGTGACTTTAGGGTTTAGGGTTTAGGGTTCAGGGTTCAGGGTTCAGGGTTCTGGGCTTAGGGTTTTTCAGGGCTTAGGGTGCAAGGGCCATCTTCGGGAATGTATGGAAAGAGAGGAAGGTGTTGGCATAGGTGTAATCCAACACATCGATGACCGCTGACGCAACTTCCATGAACCCGGTCCTCCCGAGTGGTGGTGCACTCCTCATTCATTGCCTCGTAGGCTTGCAGCAGGGCTTTCAGCTCCTGCAGAGCAACTTCGGATGTACTCTGAGCCGCGCCGAAAGAGTTTCAAAGCAACGTTGGATTTCCGCTAAACTATGGTCCCCCTTCGAAGGCTCAAATTGTGTCACGGAGCCTGAACTGTAGGGTAACCCCCAAAAAAGAAACCGAAAGGTAGAGAAGTCCCCATACAAGAAGCAAGCGGTCTCCTCCTGGACCGATCCAAGTTCGCTCGTCTTTTCCTGCGAATTGGGATGTTCCCGCTTACACTAACAGTTATTCAGGGGGTACCAGAATCCCGATTAAGGAGTGTTAGTATAAGGGGGAACATCCCAATCTGACACGTGGCACCAGCAGCCTTAAAGTCCTCATTTTTCGTCTTGCTGGAGATCGCATGAACCAAAAAGAACCTCAAATGCCTAAAACCAGACTAAATAAAACATACTGAACCCCATCATAACCTAGAGCCCAGGGGCCCACAACCTTAAGGCCCGCCTCAGAGTCAGCCAGCTGCTCAGTGGAATACTCCTCAGTTTGGCACACACAGAGAGACCCTTGAGGGTTTAGGGTTTAGGGTTTAGGGTTTAGGGTTTAAGGAAGAGTCTTGAGTTCCGGGTGACCTGCGGAATCTTGGCGATCCGAAGGCTTGGGTATTAGCAACCTTTTTACCATAAGCTTGGATGTGATACAAGTCCGGCAGTGTCAAGAAAAACACCTTCAACTCCCCGAGCTGAGGGTCTCAAGAGTCAAGGGAGGCTTGCAGTTCAACCCACGACCTCAGAGGCAGCACTTGCACAACTCGTCTGCCCACCTTCTTGTGCTTGATGTCGACTTCCATCTGCTTCTTATTCACCTGGCAGCAGGTGCTCCCAAGCCCTGAGGACAAGAACCGTGAAGCAGACTGGCGTCGTGGTGAATACCTGCGGGCACTACAAGTCTAAGCCGCCGCACATGGCCTGCGGTTTGCTATGGGCCGGCTGTGTCCTTCCCTAAACCCTAAACCCTAAACCCTAATCCCTAAACCCTAATCCCTAAACCCTAATCCCTAAACCCTAAACCCTAATCCCTAAACCCTAAACCCCTTGAGGCACCAAGCGCCTTGGACTCAAAGATGAACTTGTCGTACTCAGCCTGGCTGGACTCCTTGCGGGGCGAAACACAATGCTCTCCCAGCGCACAAGCAAGTCGAAAGCCAAGCAGCAGTCAATCTTCACAAATGGGGGTTTCATCCTAGTCATTGGGCCCTTCCTTGGTCTTCAGATAGGGGAGACCAGAACTCAGATGATCGCCAAGTACGGCCGAACCAGAACCCAAAACTTTCCGAAACCCCTACAAGCCCCAAGCCCCTCTAGCCCCAAACCTTAGTGGCTCGGCCCGGGCCTCCTCCGAGCTAGTCTCGGCCTCCAGCTTGGCGAAGTCTGAGGCGATGACCTGCAGAGTCAAGGGAGGAGGAAGAAGAGGAGTCTAGGACGGAAGGGTCCAAGAAAAACTCAGAGAATATGTGTGACAAGCCTACCAAGACATCCCCCATTTTGCATTCGGATATGGGAGGGACGGCGAGAGCGAATATCAGGGCATGCACAATGATGCAAATCTTTTGGTACTCTCACCCAACCGCCACTGCTACAGCGCACCTGCAGCATGTCGAGGACGCCCCCGCTCTTGCCGCCCATGCCCTGATAGGCCCTGAACCATGCAGAGCTGCGTGGGCATGCGTGGGCTCTGTGGGATTCTGATGGAGCTCTGCAGGGGCTACTTCAGAACTCTTCAAGCCCTGCGGGCTTGAGGCAACAGTAACGAGACGACACTACTTCTTCCTGGGTTGACATGGACAGGGTGACACTCTCGAGAGGCAGCAGGGTGAAAAGAAACCTGGGTCAGGAGCACTCAAATCTTGGGCTGCTGAACTCTCAGAGCTGGGCGTGTCGAAGATGGCTGGCTGGTCAGACCTTGTAGTGGCAGGCATCTGCGGGGGCCATACCCTTCGCCAAACCTTTCCTACACTTCCGTGTCCATATTGTCCATGCACTTACCAAGCGCATCGAGCCCCAGGCGTCTCAGACGCCTGGCACGAGGGAAGCACTTGTCACAGGGCCATGAGAAGTCGCAAGCCACAAGCCCACAACGCCCCGAGATCTCGTAACCCCACATTCAACTGCCATCCAAACTGCATCGATCTGCACCTTGCCGGTGCTCTCTTGGACAAGGGCCGTCGCCTGGAACATGCACACGCATACAGAGAACAGCAGCTAGCGCCTGCTCGATTTCGCAACAACGACATTCATCGGCTAAACGCCAACATGCATAGCCTAGCGAACGGTGTTGGCTGCACACAACGGCACTGAGGTCGACAGAATGAGAGAAAAAAAACAGCAACAACTACCACAACCACAACCACAACCACAACCACAACCACAACCACAACCACAACCACAACCACAACCACAACCACAACCACAACCACAACCACAACCACAACCACAACCACCACCACAACCACAACCACAACCACAACCACAACCACAACCACAACCACAACCACAACCACAACCACAACCACAACCACAACCACAACCACAACCACAACCACAACCACAACCACAACCACAACCACAACCACAACCACAACCCGCCTGCCGTCAGACTATTGAACAAGCATGCAGAGGAGCATGCAGGACATTTTTGTCAACAAGCGATTCGCGATTGCCCGGTTGCCCGAAGAAAGCTGTGAAGATGTTGAAGCTTCCGTACGGTGGCTCTTGCGAGCACTGCATACAGCATTTTTGCAAACACTTCACGAACACAAAGTTACCGAATCTTCAGCTCTGCAATCCCAGAACCCCTACCTACCACTTCAGCAAACCATCCATGCATCAACATACTCAACATGCACCTCCAAGGCTGAAGGATTCAAGTGCTGTGGCGCATCCCTTTCGCGGCTTCCGCCCCGCGTGGCAGGTCGCCTGGCCCGCCTTCTCGTAGAAAGCCTGCCCCAACAGGAGCACCCTGAACCCTAAACCCCAAACCCCAAACCCTAAACCCCAAACCCCAAACCCTAAACCCTAAACCCTAGAAGCTGCCCTGGTGTGCCATCTCCTGAGCAGCAGGGCTACGCTGCAGCTCCCAAGGCGCCTTCAGCACCGAGGTCGCCTGCGCGACGGCCTCCTGGGCAGCCTGCGTTTTCCAAACAAGGTTTAGGGTTTAGGGTTTAGGGTTTAGGGTTTAGGGTTTAGGGTTTAGGGTTTAGGGTTTAGGGTTTAGGGTTTAGGGTTTAGGGTTTAGGGTTTAGGGTTCAGGGTTCAGGGTTTAGGGTTGAGGGTTGAGGGTTGAGG